CCTTGAAAAACAGGTTGACTCCCTAGCCGAAGTGGCCCTCCAAAATCGCAGAGGTCTAGATCTGCTCTTCCTCAAACAGGGAGGCCTCTGTGCTGCCCTAGGAGAGACCTGTTGTTTCTATGCTAACCACTCAGGTATCATCAGACAATCTATGCAAGAGCTGCAAAAGCGATTACGAGATAGAGAGAGAGAAGAACATACCTCCACCTCATGGTATGAGAGTATGTTCAATTGGTCTCCCTGGCTGACCACCCTCCTCACAGCTCTAGTGGGTCCGCTCCTCCTCTTATTCATAGCCTTAGCCTGCGGACCTATCATCCTTAACAGAATCACTGCATTTGTCAAGGAGCGGGTCCAATCAATTAAGCTTATGGTACTAGCCCAACAGCAATATTACCAAAGCTTACCCCTAATCCATGACTAATATAAATCAAGGATTTGATTAATTCACCAGAAGAAGTGGGGAATGTTATAACTCAGTGCCATTGACCCAAACTCCCAGAGGCTGTCATGACAACCAAAGGGGTTGTCAGTTTACTCATTTACTGAAGAACATTCTTCACTAGCTAATCCCTAAGTAAACACTAACCCTTGAGGAATCCTGGGGTCGGCGCCAGGGATGATCTATTGAAAACATCTTGACCTTTGAGATGTCTGGGAAACTGAGTAACAGGTAATTAACTAACTGCTAAATTCCGCTTCTGTAACATGCTTGCTTACACGTAGCAACCCCCCTCACAAAATCCTATAAAAAGGAGCCATTTTAGCTCTCCGCCGCCGCAGTTACTCCTGTGTGGGACACACTGCAGGCCTGCAGACTTAGCTCAATAAACTCCTTTTGTTAAACCCCATCTCGGCGTCTGAGTTTGGTCGATCTCCTGGGTTACAACAACACCTACAATTAAGGCTGTAAGTAATGCAACTTTCTTGCCTTGAACAGAAGAAAAATTTCTGGCTGCATTCCGCCTGCCCGCTTCAATAAAAGAGAGAACTAACTGGTTACACACTGTTGATCATCTATAGGACTATTAAATTCCCCATTTTTAATGCACCTAAATTAAAAAGGTTTTGAATAGACTAATCTATGACCTATGGGAGAGAAAACTGTGACCGGCTGCTGACTCATTGTGATGCTCCTGTACACACTGTGACCCAAATGCATTTCATGCTTCATCCTATGCTGAGCTATTTTGATAGTTTATTCTCATATATGGTGTAATAAAAAAGTGGTCTAGTTTCAGTTTTTTGCATTTATTTGTCCAGTTTCCCCAATACTATTTATTGAACAAACTACCTTTACCTTGTTGTATATTCTTGCCTCCTCTGTCATAAATTAATTGACCACAGGTGTGGGTTTGTTTCTGGGCTCTCTATTCTGTTCCTGTTGGAGGTTTTAGAATCCCAGAAAATAGCAATTTGAATGATTACCTTTTATAGTGTACACGAGTTATTATTTTCTAAAGGACCTAATCTTGCTCACTTCATATTTTCTGCTAAATTGGAATCTGTTCATATATTTCCCTTGGCCAGAAAGATTCTGAAGAAAATTAGAAACCAATGTGTACATCTAAACTTAGAGTTCAAACTAAGAACACAAGTATTAAGAAAACAAACAAATAAACAAGAAAAACCCAACTTTAATCAGCAGATGCCGACTTAATGAATTAAAGACTTCAAAGTCAGACCCAAAACAATAAAACTCCTAGAAAAAAACAGGCAGTAAATTCTATGACATCACTCTTAGTAATACTTTTGGGGGGTAGATGTTCTTGGACAAAGGACACCAACAAATGGAACTACAACAAACCAAAAAGTTTTTGCACAGCAAAGAAAACTATCAACAACACAAAAAGATAACCTACTGAATGGGAGAAGATATTTGCCAATGACACATCCGATAAGGAGTTAATACCCAAAATATGTAAGAAACTCATACAACTTAACACCAAAGAAAACAATCCAATTAAAAAGTGGGCAGCAGACCTAAACAGACATCTCTCCAAAGAGGGCACACAGATGGTCCATAGACATATGAAAAGATGCTCAAAGTCACTAATCATCAAAGAAATACAAATAAAACCACAATAAGATATTACCTCACACCTGTCAGAATGGCTATCATCAATAAATTAACAAACAAGCGTTGGTGAGGATGTCGAGAAAAGGAAAACCCGTGCACTGTTGCTGGGAATGCAGACTGGTGCACCTATTACCTAACTCAAAGGGTTCACCTCTTGGGGGTAATGGTTGTCCATAAATAGTTTTATTTATTTGCAGAAAGAAAAAGAGATGGAGGATTCAAATCCAAAGCTCTGTCTCCCTCATGGGAGGCTTAGCCATTGCTTATATATACTATTTGGTTAATTAAATCTTTATTTCTTCTTTGCAGTTGGCTACACACTTAATCCGGTCAGATTTCAGTCAAGCTCATCCTGTTTACAGCTGCTTCTATAAAATACTGTGCTACATTTTAACACTTAGCAAGAATAGCATTTAGTAAGAACCACCCAGACCTTAAGATCCTTGTCCTATCTAACACAGCCACTATAGACAACAGTATGGAAGTTCCTCCAAAAATTAAAACTAGAACTACTCTATAACCCAGCAATCCCACTTCTGGGTATTTATCCAAAGAAATCCTAAACACTAATTCAAGCTATCATATATATTGTTGTGGCGCGAGAGAACCTAGAGATCACCTGAGCCAAATTAAAGCCAAATAGAGAGCAAAGCCGGCCGGCGACTGATCCCCAGTGCTCGGAGATCAGCCCCGACCTTCAGCTGATTGTTTATTTTATAGGGGGTTTGTTACAAACTTCTGCAACTGGCATTTCTTGTTGGCCTTGGGGAAGAGCAAGCAAGCAAGTACAGAAGCGGAGGCAGTTAGCAACAGATAAGCAGGAGGGAAGGGAGGGGGGAGGGAGCTGAGGCAAAAGGGAACTGGGTGGACTGGGTCAGCACACATCCATCCTGCTATTCATTCTATTTTCTGAGTTCTAAAAACTAACAAATTCACTTAGAGGACAAATTCATTTAGAGGAGTAGCAGGCCAGCTGGTACTTCCTCAGGTTGCTTCTGAAAGCTTCATAGTTGGCCTTTTGTTTATTTAATCAGGACAAAGTGATAGGAGCAGGCCAGTACAATATCTCTCTATTCATTGCAGCATTGTTTACAATAGCCGTAATATGGCAGCGACTTAAGTGTCCATCAACACACAAGTAGATAATGAAGTGCCAAAAACATACAATGGAATATGACTCAGTCATAAAAAAGAATGAAATCTTACCATTTGAGACAACATGGATGGACCTGGAGGGCATTAATGCTAAGTGAAGTAAGTCAGACAGAGAAAGACAAATACCAGGTGATTTCACGTATACATGGAATCTGAAAAACGAAATGAAGGAACAAACATGAAAAAGAACAAACTGATGATTGCCAGATGGGAAGAGGGTTGGGGTGCTGGGTGAAAAAGGTGAAGGGATTAAGTACAAATTGGCAGTTACAAAATAGTCATGGGCATGTAAATTATAGCACAGGGAATATAATCAATAATATTGTAATAACTATATATGGTGCCAGGTGGGTTCTAGATTTACTGGGGGAATCACTTTAAAAGTTATATAAATGTTTAACCATTATGTTATACACCTAAAACTAATATATTTAATGTCAGTTATAATTAAAAAAAATTTTTTTTTTCTTTTAAAGATTGAGCACTGGGCTGGGAGGTGGGAGAGCTGTTGATCTGGCTCTGGTTCAGCTCTGCCCTTGACCATGGCTCTCAGAGGCATGGAAAATAATTTGAGGATTAGTTTCCTCCCTCCAAAATAAAACAGTAATACCAGTCTCTTACAGTAAAATATAAAGCTGAGATACAATGGGGCCAGAAAAGTACTTTGTAAACTATAAAATGCTCTGCACCTGAGAGGTACAGTTACTGTTACAAGCAGTGTTTTCTCAGTAGTTTCCCCCAATTGGTTGATTTACTTTCCCAAGGGACTGGGACCTCCAAGACTGGTAATGCCCTACTCCACCTTCCTTTTCCCTAACCCCGGTTCCCTGGGGAAAGCAGAGCTGAGAGGAATAAGCAACAACTTCACCTACATTTCCACTGGGACACGGTAGCAAGGGACACACTGCCACCTATGTGTTCATTTCTATCCCATCTTGTCACAGGATTTGAGGTGAATTCCAGTCTAGATAACTGCTCACACATGAAGAAGCAGGAAAAAGGTCCAAATGTCCTGTGTCCCTTTCTTCTGGGAGAACATGTAACACAAAATCACAAAACTGCACCGGCAGCACAGAACTCCCTAGGAGCCTGGGCCAGGTGGACCCCGCTTCTCTCATCCTACTGCCTGCCCTAAGTCTCCTGAAGTTCCCTGAGGCCCAGTGTTGTCATGGCAATGCCCACAAAGCAGTGATGGGCAAAACTTCAGCAGTCAGAGGCAGACACCATCAATTCCTGTCAAGCCACACCCCTGTCAGAGCCCCTTCACTTTTCAGGGACCGGTTTACCCCAGATTGCTGTGGTCTGTGCCCATCTTCCATTCCTCAACTCATAGTCCCACCCACACCACTGGCTCTTCAAAGACTGTCACACTCTTGCCGTGGCTGGTTTGGCTCAGTGGTTAGAGCGTCAGCCTGCGGTCCAGAGAGACCTGGGTTCGGTTCCTGCTAAGGACGCGTACCTCGGTTGCAGTTTGTCCCCGGCCCTGGTTGGTCATGTGGGTGGCAGCCACTCAGTGTGTCCCTTTCACGTCGATGTTTCTCTCTCTCTCTCTTCCTCTCTCTCCCTCCCACTCTATCTGAACAAAAAAATAGAAAAATGTCCTCGGGTGAGGATAAAAAAAAAAAAAAAAAAAAAGACTGTCACACTCTTCAGGCATATGGTAGACTGAGGCCCAGAGTGATCTGCTGCTTTGCTCAAAGTGTCCCACAGGCAGAAGCAGGCCAAGTGCAGGGCACCAAACTCTGCCCTGTGAAGAGCTGCCTACCAAGAGCTGGTCACTGATCTTGAGCTTCTCCATCTGGGTCTCCAGAGGTCTCTTGAGCAGGGACTTGGTCATGGCATTCTGAGCCATCATGGGTGTGGCTGTGTTCAGGTCCTTCACAGTCATCACTGACAATACTGGGTCCCCGATGAGGAACTGGACATTAGCACCACGGACAGCACAGCCCCATCCTTAGAGGCCAACTGTTGAGGGAAGGAGGCCACAAAGGAAAAGTTCTCACGCTGTCGGGATGGCTCAGTGGATTGAGCATTGTCCCATGCACCAAGAGGTCACTGGTTCGATTCCTAGTCAGGGCATACGCCTGGGTTGTGAGCTCGATCCTCTCTTTCAAAAACCAATAAAAAACATTTTTTTTTTTTTAAAAAAAGAGAAGATACTCAAGGGGCTGAAGCTGCAAGGTCAGGCCCACTGAGACCACTCAGCTTAATTCACCCACCTGGTCACTAGACCCTCATGGATAAAATGGTGTCCCTAGGTACATGGGGTTAGGTATTTGGAACAAGGATGGGCTTCCAGCCTCCTGCCATGATTTTCTGGTCTCCTCCCTACTCCCTTCCCCCTGCCCCTGATGGCTACTCACAGGATATGCGGCACAAGCCCCCACTCTCTCTGCCCAGAAGAGCCGAGAAGCCCCTCACCTTGCAGGGAAAGACACTGAAGGCTCATGTCCTCAGAGCCCCTCTCTGAAAGGAGTCAACAAAGGGCAGGAGCAGAACCACACCAGGCCCATAAGGGGTGTGGATCAGCTCAGTCGAAACATGATCATCAGCTCACAGGCAGGCACAATCTGTTAACAAAGGCAAAGGAAGGGTTGAGTGTGGTGAGCACAGGCTGCCAATGACATCGCCCAGGGCCCTCCCTCACCTCTCTCCCCCTTGCACTGGGCAGTGTCAGGTATCCTTAAACTCTCTGTTTTCACATGAGAAAACCAAGGCTAAGAGGGGTTAAGTGACTCTTTCAAAAATCACACAGTCCCTAAGTGAAATAGGGAAGATCTGAATACAGTTCTGAATGACTCCAGAGGCAATGCTCTTAACTACCACACTGTACTGACTTGATTCTCAGATAAACTTTTCATTTCTGTGGTCTGAAGCTAGATGTGACTCAAACTAGAAAACTATCTGGGCTTGAATTAGTTAGAATCACATTCTGGGCTGCTCTACCAGCAACCCCAAGCAAAGGGCTTTGCCAGCTTCAGGTGCTGGAGTCCTCAAAGAAGTAAATACATCCAAATTGAGAAATGAAGTTCAGAGAAGCAGACACTTGCCCAAGGTCACAGTATTTGTTTCAGTGGCAGTTTTAGGACTAGAATTTTGGTCTTTCTAAGGACTTCCTTCCAGACCACACCAAACCCAAAGCCTTTCGAGCAAAGCTGACCATGGCCTTTGCTGCACGGAGCAAGGCCGGCCTAGGCTTCCACTTCGCTGCAGCTTTCAGGTGTGGTCCTCACCTACAGCTCATCTTTTCCCAGCTGCACCACTCCCTGTGGAAACGAGGCCTGAATTCCTCTCACTCTTTATCTGCTGGACCAACTTCAGTGTTTTCCATTTCTAATTTAGCCTAACCCAAAGGCAGGAAGATTTGGCAAAGGTATCTGTATGCACCTTAATGCTGTTGTCCAGAGCCCAGGACTTGGGAGTTTGGATCCTGTATGACTTTGGACAAGTCTGAGCCCTAGTTTCCTCAGCTGAAAGATGGGGATGAACAATCCTCACCCAGCCCATTTCACAGAAGTGTGAAAATATAATACTTAAGGGAAGGAGACAGAGGACGAAAACTTCATCCATCAAAGCCAAGGCTCTAAGTATGGCCCAACAACCCTGGGGCTGTCCCAGTTAGCCTTCTTTTAGGGCAAACCATCCAGAAATGGGGAAGGTGATCAGCAGCAGCAAGAACCCCAGGAAAATGATGAAGCCGTGGCAGAGGCAGGAAGGCCAGGTCTGAGGTGCATCTGGGACAAGAGAACAAAGGCAGTCAAGGGACACTAACTGGCTTGCTGGACAGCTGCAGGCAGAGTGAACATGGTCAAGTGTACCTTTTGCCCACCTCCCTTCCTTCTCAGAGCTCTCAGTCTGCCTCCTTGTCTAATACTCCCACATCCTTGGGCAGGTGCTAGCTAAGAACTGTTCCTTCCTCCCACATAAAACTAATCTGTCTCAAATCCTTCACAAGTCTATTCTCTGCTGGACAATGGCCATTGAATCTGAGAAGCAAAACAATGTGACGCCCTACTTATTGGGCTGAGGTGGAGTCAATCTTGTCTGATTTATATTGACTTGGCAGAGCCAGGAGCCTGTGGAAATCTGCAAACACAGGCTGGGTTGAACTGAATGCTGCTGGCATAACTCATCTCTCTTCAACCACCAGCCCCAGAAGTGTGCTTTCAAGGAGTCCTTATGCCTAAAGAGATAAAGCATAATGGCTTACCAATAGGAGCTATAAGTGAAGACAAAGATGTTCTTTCCTAGCTCACAATTCTTTACCCCATTTTAATGCCTTAAGGACCATCAAATGCATGCTTCAGTTGAAGAGCTTCAGGAGGGAGGTGGGGGAAAGAACTAGAAAGGTGAGGCTCATCTAAGCCAGAGGTCCTGGTCCCTGGACAGCCAGGAGCTCAGGATAGGAGTGAAGCTGAGACAGCCTCAGAATCTGGGATCAGGTTATTCTCTGCTCTCCTTCCCTCCCAATGCTGGACAGGAAGCAGACAGGAGCCTCTGTTCCATCTTCCCACCAACCCCATACCCTATGGGCTCTCAGAGCCCCAGGATACTAGGTCCCTTTCCTGCTGATTCTGATCCATATGGCCCCTGCAAAAAGGAACCCTTGGATAGGGCAACTGTCATTACAGGAGGGTTGGGGAGGGACCAATTCCTCCAGGGTTTGTCAGGCTGAGGAATGTGAGATCTGGAATGTGGGTCTCAAGGCTTCTGAGCAACACAGGGCCTGGGCCAACACAGGCAGCTGACAGCTTTTTGCTTGCTCATCTCCACCAGGAAATAAGGTGGTGCTCAAGCTCAGGGAATCCGGGGTCGGGGGCAGGTGTGTGAGTGTGTGTGTGTAAGTGTAAAGATTCTGCCACTTTTCTGCAGCCAAGTGCCCTTGGTGTGATGATGACCTTCTATGCCGCGACTGTGGTTTCTTTCTAGTCAAAATAGGTACTTGACACCTCTTCCCAGGCCTAAAGGGCTGATAAGGGCCGAGAAGGAACGAGGTGGGGCTAGGAGCCTTGGAAGATGAGAATTCTGGGGCTGCACCCGCAGCGCTAGAAAGGACGGGTCGACGCTAGCATCCCAGCGCCCGCTACGTGCCCCTCTCCACCTGGTGCTTCCTCTCGCTCCCACCTCTTAGAGTGCCACTACGCCAGACCAGCTGACTTCTGAGAGGCAGAGAGTTCAGGCCTGGCGACGCCGGCCGGGTGCCCCCGAGCCCCTCCGAGCTGGGCGGCCACTCACCCGCCCCCAGCCCCACGCCGCCCCGCTCCCGGAACAAGCTATCCTTTTGCGAGTCCAGGAAGCCGAAGTTCGACTGCTGGAAACAGTTCAAGTCTCCCAACAGCAGCGCCCAATATCCAGACCTGCACTGCGTGGTTCTGAACAGGGGGGCATGCCCTGCGCCCCAGCAGTGCCAGGACAGACCTGCGAGCCTCCACCACGCCCCGCCCCTGCCGCCGTCGCTTCCGGTTTCCCTAGCACGGGGCACCGCGGTCCTGGCGCGGAGGCAGGGCGGCCTGACTCCTGCAGTCACACACCGCCCCCTGCGCTAGGAGGACCGAACTGCAGCCGCCTGGCAGGGAGGGAAAGTGGTCTTGGTTCCCTGGAATCCACAGGAGTCCTTGCCTTCTCCTGCGTGTTCCCCGTCTGCCTTAGAAAAGGATCAGGAGGGGAAGCTGGCTTTGACGAGATTTTTCAGGAGCTGAATCTTCTCCAGAATCAAGGAAATCGTACTTTTGTGGCACGAGAGAACCAAGAGACCACCAGAGCCAAATTAAAGCCAAATAGAGAGCAAAGCCGCCGGCCACTTGTTCCGAGTTCTCCGAGATTAGCCCCGACTTTCAGCTACATTTTTATTTTATAGGGGGCTTGTTACAAATTTCTGCAACTGGCATTTCTTGTTGGCCTTGGGGGAGGGCAAGCAAGCAAGTACAGAAGCGGAGGCAGTTGGTGATAAGCGGGAGAGAGCAAAGGTGGGAGGGAGCTGCGTCAACACACATCTATGGTCAGGATTGTCCTGCTATTCACTCTATTTTCTCAGTTCTAAAAAATAACAAATTTGCTTAGAGGGCAAATTTGTTTAGAGGAGTACCGGGCCAGCTGGTACTTCCTCAGTTTGCCTCTGAAAGCTCCACAGTCGGCCTTTTGTATTTATTATTTAATCAGGTGAGGCGATATGAGCAGGCCAGCACATTCCCCACTGGTTTTCAGGGGAATCAAATCATTGTTTGTTTCCTCTCCCAATTTTGAATTCTTTGGTAATGGGTGCTTAGGACCATAAGTTTAACTGTCTGGATTCTTTGTCTGATATATTTAGTTAAACAGTTAATAATTATGGGGCCAAAAAGTAGCCCTATGAGCAATAATAGAAGAGGTCCTGCTATTGCTGATAAGAGGGTCATTAACCATGGAGATCAATTATAATAGACCCTTGAACCAGTTGCTTCCTGATTTTCTTAGTTCTTCTCTGTCTTTAATTCTCTGTCTAATTAGAATCAAACTGTCTCTTATTATTCCAGAGCGGTTAGCATAGAAACAGCAGGTCTCACCTAGAGCCATATATAGACCTCCTTGTTTTAAGAAGAGGAGATCAAGTCCCCATCTATTCTGTAATACTACTTCAGCCAGGGAATTTAGGGACTTTTCTAAATGGGTGATAGAGTTTTCCAGGTCTGAGAGGTCTTGATCTATTTGTTTACTAAATGCCTTAAAATTCTGGTCTCCCATGACTAGTACAGTCATACTGACGGCTGCAGAGCCTGCTAGTCCTAATTTTACTAAGAGTGGAACTAATATGGGTATTGCCCATTTATCCCTTCCAGCTGAGGTTCCAAAATGTTTGTGTCTGCCTTCACTGGAGTAAAAGTAGACCTGTGGAATTACATAAGTAAGAATGCATAGTCCAAAATCATCATTATGTGAGTTAATATAAGGAGTTACTCTGGTAGTGGAGGCAAATCAAGTCCCTTCTGGGGCTACAAGTAATCTGGGGCCTTTGTCTTCTTGGAGGTCCTCTGGCATAGGAATCAAAATATAAGTTCAGGATTCCATAGGATGTGTTTGTGCCAATAATGTGGTCCATCATGGGTCCAACTAAGGCTCATGGAGATTGGCTGGTGGAGATTTCCCGGAGTCAGAGAAACAAAGTTCCCAAGTAACAGGATCAGGATCAGAGTAATTTTACCTTCAAAGGGTCGTCTGTCCGTTGAAGGGTCCATTTTTCTGGTATCTGGTTAGGGTGTGCCTTCTTTACCTGGGTGGGATGAATCCAGAAACGGTGACCTGTCACCTAAGGGCTGTCCGAGTGGTGAGGATTACAGGCAGCGGACCAGTCCATCTAGGTTCCAGCGAAGCAGGTTGAATTTTTTTGATCCAAATCCAGTCACCAGGCTGAATATTGTAGAGATATGAGTCACCTGGAAGAGAAGGCTTAGGGAGAGAATCTGTTATCATCTGATGGTTTTGTTGGACGAGTTGCAGAGCCTGTAAGGACTTAGGAAGATAATGGTTATTATTTAGTTCAGCAAGGGTTTCTTCTCCCAATTTGGGGAGAAGCGGTGGTGGTCTCCAG